CACGACCTCCGGCATATCAGGCGACGGAGTTAACATCTCGCCACCATGGCGTCTCATAGTCCTGCTGGGTGGACTGAGGCAGAGGGATTCCATAAACGTGCTCATAGCTTCATCTGCCACGCCGAGAGGTTGAACCGGCAACCTGTGGATTGCAGGCTCGGTGTGCTCACCATTATCCCTGCGGTTGCATCCACGGGCTAATCAACGCCTTCGGACTTCTCCGAGCTGGGAAAGGGAACCAACTCCCCCTCTCGGCGAATTGGAGGAATGGGCTCAGAAAAGACGCAGGAACCCAATAGCTGTCAACCCACACGGTTTATAACCTCGTATTCTTGTACAGGGACATGGAGGTTTCAGGTCCATGCGGCGAACAGCCGTTTCAATACGGGCAAAAATGTGTCTATTTGTTTGTGTTTCTCCCTTGTGATGGGACTTTTTAGGATGAACGTTGAGATTATAAGGGCACCGGGTGACCAATAAGGTCTGAATTGGTCTGTAATAAGGTAGGCACTGATAAGGGGTTGACAGGTATGGTATAATAATAGGGGTTTTCCCCTTTTTTCTGGCAACAAAACTGAAACCTTTTACGAGGAATCATGTGTGCATTAACCACAATACTTGTGGTCAAAATGCAAACAAAAAACACACTGATAATATATGCATTGTACTTGAAACTGATTGGTCCACACCAGAGACGGCTTTCTTTTGAGCCTCGTCTCAATTGGTGCTCGACCAGAGGACGCCAAAAGGCGTACAGCTCAAAGACAATGCTGCACTATCAAAGTAATGAGGGCTCGGGGTATGCATCTACATCATTAGACCTCCTTTGCCAGTACCAAAACATAATAATAGGGTTTTTCCCCTTTTTTCTGGCAACAAAACTGAAACCTTTTACGAGGAATCATGTGTGCATTAACCACAACACTTGTGGTCAAAATGCAAACAAAAAACACACTCTGATAATATGGTACAGTGTAGTGTATAGTATAGTGTATAGCATACCTGTAAACCCACACGGTTTACCCGTATTCTTGTACATATAAATTGAGTTTTCATGTCCATACGGCGTACAGCCGTTTCAATACGGGCACACAAATATATTTGTGTTTCTCCCTTGTGATGGGACTTTGTGGGATGAACGTTGAGATTTATAAGGGCACAGGGTGACTAATACGGTCTGAATTGGTCTGTAATAAGGTAGGGCACTGGTATGCGAACCATGTTTCAAAGTTCATTTTTGAAGCGTAATTTGTTGAACCAGGTGAGAGGATGAGCCGCACTTGCAAGAATGACCTCTGGGTCGAACAAAAAATGAAAAACGCAATAAAAGACGCACAGCAAAAGAAGCTAGTTAGAAATCAAAATGAAAACAACCAAATAGAAATGTAGGAAAAACTAAGGCGTTGTAAAATCTAAATTGAAAACGGTGAACGAAGATAAATCATTGCCAAACTACAATACATTTACAGTTAAACAAGTTGGCTCAGACACACCAATATAGATCCACGGTCATTGTGTTGGTATGCAGAAAGACAAGAACATACTGTAGCCAAATTCAAGTATGCAGTATCGATCAATCGATTTGTCAAAGCCACGGAAGGAAACGTTGGTTGCGTCTTTCAAGCTGACAGGTCGTCAACTTTGCAGCAGGTACCGGCAATGCAATGGGAATTCCCATGGCACGTGGTCACCTTATAGAGGTTGGATTATATAGTGCCTTAGTCCAAGGCGCTTTAAAATATCGTATTATAAATGCCCGGCGTTACGTTTGTCTGCCAATTAAATTATAAGAGAGCCTTTCAGAAGGCCTGAATCAAAAAGTTATTGAAAGTGGACCCCCCCCCCCCCACCACCAGATGTGGGGGTAAAAAGTTGCTCCAACAGGTTTACAACAATTGTTGACCTGAAGCAGGTGGAATGCTTCACTATTCTGGCAACTCGTCCGATGATGCTGGTTGATGTAATTACCAGCGAAACGTCGTGTACTCAAATTGTAAATGTTGTGGGTTTACCCTCCAACACACCGGCGGGCTGAAGTAGTCACTAATTGTCGCGTTGCTTACGTGACAAACCTTACTGGCTGTGTCGGGTGGTGGAGGGGTTACGACACATTAATATTTACGTGATCTAACCCAAAAACCTTTATTATAGACAACACGGTACCCGAATAATATTGCTTCTGCCCCCCCCCCATTTCCCTAACCCTTCTCTTCCTGACACCACACGGCCCCCCCCGCATCCCTCTTCCCTGGCTCCTACGACCCCCCCTCTTACCCTATATAATCCCTTGTCACAAATAGCTCTCTCTACTCACTCCAGTAATTTTGCTGTGGCTGTTCCACCTGATGACGGAAGCTTGTGTTGCCTCCGAAACGTCGTGATTTAATTTAGTTATTTTCATTTTTTTTATTTGTGTTTTTTTATTTTTCATGTACGTGACTTTACCGAAAGAAGCAAAGAGTATGTATCCTTGCTGTCACGAAAACTTCAAATCTAGAACTAACCCTTCTCGCCAAACTTATTTATCGCAACGCCTTCTACACCTGGCCCAGTGGCTCCATCCCTCCTTCCCCTGCCATGATGGACCCTTCCTGCCCCCTGCAAACGACGACCCCTCACTTCCTTGCGAGTGGGTGCCTCTCGCCCTCCCTTTTGAACCGCATTGCCCTTCCAATTCATCCCACCGAGGCCCAACGATTCCCACACCCCTCCCCTTCTCATCCCCCTAACAACAACAACAACGTTGTGGTGACGTTATCATGGCACCTTGTGCCTTGCTAAGGTGCCGATGGGTTGACTGACTGAGATGGCTGGCAGCTGCACCGTGCTCCACCACTGTTGCCAAAAACACAAATCTGGCTGTCGCCTGATGATGCTAGTTGTAATTACCGGCGAAACGTCGTACTCGAATTGTAAATGTTGTGGGTTTACTCTGGAAGATTTTGCTGTTTTTTCCTGGATTTTGTTGTTGCGTGTAGTCACTTTAAGATGTTTCTTGTTCATGTTTTTGTTTGTTGCGGTTGCACCCGAGTCAAGAGCCGCATGGCTCACCGGGTTATACCTAATACATGAAACTGAAACTCTCCAACAGACCGGTGTGCTGTACTCGTAACGAATTGGGATGTTTTGTTTACGTGTCAAACCTTACGAATTGGCTGTATCGGGTGGTGGCGGATTTAACGACACATTTATGATCACGCGCTCTAACCCCAAAACCTCTATGATGGATAATATTGGTCGCGAAAGTCGACTACGTGTTAAACTCCGCGTTTTAACCGCCCGGCGCTCCGCTCGTTGTTGTGAGCGTCGCTCCTCCGCCCTCCGTTGTTGTTGGAGGGCGACTGCCTCCAACTGCCCAGTAGCGTCCTTCACGAGCCTTCCCCTCCACAGAGGCCGATCTTGACACCGCTGGTACCAGTCATCGGCAAGTTCACTCAGCTTCACGTCCTCATGTACCGCATCAGCTCCATCTCTTCTCTATCCCATGCCGTGTCCCCTTTAGCCCCCTATACCCAACCGAACATAAATCAGCTGCTTGGGCATGCGGTGGCTGGGTATGCGGACGAGATGACCCAGCCAGCTCAGCCTCACTCACTGATGGAGCTGTGTCCAGATGTCTTCTTGGTTCTTTCGGTAAAGTCACGTAGAAGGGAAGTAATAAAATAATAAAAATAAAACATAATAATTTATTATATCATATTATTATAATATTTTATTATATTATTTTATTATATTATTATATTATTTTATTATATTATTATATTATTTGATTATGTTTTATTTTTATTATTTTATTACTTTCCTTCTACGTGACTTTACCGAAAGAACCAAGAAGATGAATCCCTGCAGTCACGAAAGCTTTAAATCGAAAAATGTGTCCAGATGTTTCAAGGATCTGTGAGCTCCTCACACAATCCAGTCTGGTAGAAAAAAAACCCAAGATGGGTCGTAGGCAGGCCAGCCTGAACGTTTTAAACCGCCGGAGACGTTCCCATTCAAGGGCCTCCACGCTTCGCAAGCGGAGAGAAGCGAGGCCATAACCGTGGCCGAGGAGACCAAGGTAGCCTCCTCAACAACAACAGCAGCCGCCATTCGTCACTAAGTGGCGGTGATGTCACCACGGCGCCTGTGCCAGGCCAGGTGCACTTTGAGGGTCGCGTGAAGTGTCGAAAGCTCTCTGGCAGCAGGAGGAGGTCTCGCTGACACAACTCAGGTGGACTGCCATGGAGTTGACCGACTGAGATGACTGGCAGACTACACCCCACCCCCCCCCCCCCAGGTAAACCCCCTCCCCTCATCCCCCCATCCCCCCCAGGTAAACCCCCTCCCCTCATCCCCCATCCCCCCAGGTAAACCCCCTCCCCTCATCCCCCCATCCCCCCCAGGTAAACCCCCTCCCCTCATCCCCCCATCCCCCCCAGGTAAACCCCCTCCCCTCATCCCCTCATCCCCCCCAGGTAAACCCCCTCCCCTCATCCCCCCATCCCCCCCCCCAGGTAAACCCCCTCCCCTCATCCCCCCCAGGTAAACCCCCTCCCCTCATCCCCTCATCCCCCCCAGGTAAACCCCCTCCCCTCATCCCCTCATCCCCCCCAGGTAAACCCCCTCCCCTCATCCCCCCATCCCCCCCAGGTAAACCCCCTCCCCTCATCCCCCCATCCCCCCCAGGTAAACCCCCTCCCCTCATCCCCCCATCCCCCCCAGGTAAACCCCCTCCCCTCATCCCCCCATCCCCCCCAGGTAAACCCCCTCCCCTCATCCCCCCATCCCCCCCAGGTAAACCCCCTCCCCTCATCCCCCCATCCCCCCCAGGTAAACCCCCTCCCCTCATCCCCCCATCCCCCCCAGGTAAACCCCCTCCCCTCATCCCCCCATCCCCCCCAGGTAAACCCCCTTCACCCCTGTAACCCCCCCCCCGCAATCCCCCACCCCCCGCATCCCCCCGCCCCCGCATCCTCTCCCCCCCCCCCCCGGAGCCCCCCCTCGCGCGTGCGCTGAAACAAACATGGCGGCTGGAGCCGACCCCGGTTTCCCGCTCCCCGCGCCGCTGCCGCCGCTGCCGCCACCGCAACTGGGCCTCGACGAATCGTCGGACAGCGACACTGACCACGATGGCGGCGCCAAAATGAAGCGGAAAGTATCCACGTCCGGACAGATCCGCTGCAAGGTGAGACGACGTTCGCCATTCCGCCGATTTTTCCCACCCCGCTTTTGCGGTCTCACCCTCTGCACGGCTGTCCGGTCGCGCCGGCGGCCTAGCGCAGGATGTCCGTAGCAATACTAGGCAAGACCGGTGTCCCCGGCGTCTCTGCGGGCTGGCGAGATAACATAAGGATTTATAATTTTGTTGACAAATGTTTCGTAAAATGTGTTCCACGTCGTTGCGTTGACCTACAACTTGCCGTGTTGTAGAGGAATGAGTAGTTTTTTAGCGTAAGTTTTGTTTGAATGCTTTCGAAGACCGTTATTTAAAGTCCCACAGGCTTGCATAGAGACCCATAGCCCCACATAGTCATTGATTTGTACAGACTTGCATAGAGCATCGTAACATTACATAGACATGGCCTTGTATACACTTGCAAATACTTGTTTTATATAGGGACCCAGATACTTACATTGACACACGTACCGTACGCACCCAGATATGATCGCCTTACACATACATGGCACTTAAAAAGGCTTTACATTAAGAACCATAAACTCGTTTATGGATCGGTTTATAGACTGAGGCGAGTCGGTGGCACGCAGAGGAACAGGAATGATCTTGATAATGGACTTGAACAGGGGAAAGGTAGTCGACAGGCCCGGACTGAATAAAGGAATTGAGTTTGAGACCATGGGAGAGAGAGAGAGAGAAGAGGAGAGAGGCTGACCGGGTGATCTTACAGGTTGCTTGGAGCAGAGTGTGTGCATGAGGAGAGGGGGGATATGTGTAGAAGTGAAATGGGATGGGTTGGGCTCGACAGGGGCGATTCTATTGAGAGCAGGTGACTCCAATCTTGAATTTTGTTCTTGGGGAATGTGGTCTCATTTACTGGTGGCGGCTGAGATGTTCGGCAGCGGAATTCTGAATTTTCTCGAGTTTGGAGATGATGGATATTGGGAGGCAGTCGATCAGAGCCTTGCAGCTGGGGCTCCACTGTGACGAGATGTTAACTATCTCGCCTTGTATACAGGAGGTCGTGGGTTCCATCCCGTCCCTGACGCCTGCTGCTGTATATTTGCAGTTTGCTTATTCGCTCTCCCCGTGTTCGCTTGGATTTTCCTCCGTGCACTCCGAGTTTTCCCCTCCACATTTAGAATCAACTTGCGTTTAGAGTATTTGGCAGCAATAAATGCCCGCGTGATAATAAGCCACTTCGTTGAGCTATCATTTGTGGTCAGGTTGCTTCTGTAAAATAGGTTTTTTAAAATATCTCAGTGGCCCTTACCTGGTAAAATAAAACGTTATTTGTTTCGTCGATTCGGTATTTGTGACAAAGTGCATGGATGAGGCTTCTGGGTGGCAACTGCGGTAAGGAAATGGTGGATGTCTGAGATGTTGTGTAGATGGAGCTATGAGGTCCTTCAGAGTTGAGATGTGCGGGGAGAGACTTGACACATCGGAGTCAATGAGAACCTCCAAGGCTTCGCACATCAACAGTTGCCACTGTAACAGAGTCGAGGAAGGTGCACGCTCAAACTGGAGTCTAGTGAGAAAGGACTTTTTGAAAATCACTACTTATTTTTTGAACAAAGACGGTTACCGAAGCACACGCTTTCGAATGCGCTTCTTCGGCCGTCTGGAACGCTCTTCCTTTTCGATATTAGGAAGCCACTGGGAGCTATGCACTTTTTTGGGAACTGCTTTTTGTGTTTAGTTGTCCTTCCCCTCTGCACATCCGATTATCACGGTTGGCTACGTACGGTGCGATAGAAGTTCAACATACATACATTTGGGCAACACATTATTCGGAAAACAATTCTTTTCAGAGACTTAAAAATATCAGTTTCATTGGCATTCGATGAACCTCTTGCTACGTGGTATCGGGCGACGTGGGAAACTACAGCGCCCCTAGTGTCTGGATAAGAGGTCACTTTAAGAAATCTCACAAGTACGATGCTGTAGTGATGACATATCTTTCTGTGGACCATTGTAATAATAAATATACTTTTATATTGTGCCCTGTGATATAACGAAATGTATCGGAGCAGAAAAAAAATCAATTTGCAACCCAGGGGATTTAGCATTCAATACTAAATGTGATTAAAATCACAAGACCGTGAAAAATGTGTGTGAGGCTTATTTAAAGCTGAAACCAAACATTGAAGAGATTTGTGAACACTACATCACTTGATTGTTATCTATTATAAGCCGTTCTTCTAAGCATGCTTTGTCTTCTGGAGGGACTGGTACTTGTCATAGGAATGGGTAGTTTGCATCGAAATCTCCAATAGAGAATAGTGGTGCTCGTTGGAAGGAGGCACTTCAACTCGTTTGCTGCAGCATCTAAAGTAACACATCTTTGCAACGATCGAAATCTTCACCTAACAGAGCCTCACTCGGTCTCAAGGCTTTGCTTTTGGATGGTCTTGTTTTGAGATATTTGGCCAAATTCTTGTTTAGGTTCATTTTGTGGGACAAAAACCAGTGTCTAGAAGTTAATGACTCAAACGCTTTTAGATTTGAAGCTTTCGTGACTGCAATGATTCATATTCTTAGGTTTTTTCGGTAAAGTCAAGTAGGTAAAAAACACATAAAAAAGTAAAATAAAATAAAATAAAAATTACGACGTTTCGGAAGCTTGCGTTGCCTCCGAAACGTCGTGATTTTTATTTTATTTTACTTTTTTATGTGTTTTTTACCTACGTGACTTTACCGAAAAACCTAAGAATATCAAACGCTTTTGTTCTTTCGGTAAAGCCACGTACGTATAAATTAAAATACCTTCGTGACTTTACCGAGAGAACTAAAGAGTATGGATTCCTGCAGTCACGAAACCTTCAAATGAAGATTGAATAACTCAAACTCCAGAAAAAAACTCATACATGTGAGTAAAGACACTTTTGTATGGCGTCTGAAGAACGATTGACAAAATATTATAACTGTGTTTGAGTCTGGTAATCCATTCAACGACATCAAGAGTTGGGTGTATGTATGTTGAACATCTTTCGTACCACACATAACCAAGCGTGCTAACCGGAGGCAGCATTCGTAGCCCCTTTATAAATACAATTTATTGTACTTCCTCTTGCGGACAGAAGATTGCTGCCATACAGGTGAGGAGAGCTGTTTGCCGTATTGACGACCTCACCCTGTCTCTCTCTCTCTCTCCTCAGTCATGAATGCCCCCCTCTTGCTTCTCTTTGCCTCTTCTACAGGTGTTTCTAGGTCCAGTGCTCTTCTGAAGTTGCTCACGTTAATCCACCCATCTGTGTGCCGACCACTCGTGTTACTTGCCTCTTGTTGCCTCACTGCGAATTGTTTCCTTGCCAACCTTGCCGTGTATAACACTTTACCTCCGCCTGCTTTAACACCCCAATGCTGTATAAACGTGGAACTGTGACATACTGACGTCTTCCCAAAGCCATAGTAGTAAATGAGACTATGAACGTAGTCGATCATAAGTTAGGCAGCTTTGTCGGGGCCTCGCCTGGATGGTTCTTGGATGGTCGACCAGCATGTAGTTATATCCTGTGAGGCTTCCTGGTAGACGGCAGAGGGGAGTGCAACACAATATCTTTGTTGTACTGCACTACTCCCCCCCCCCCCCCCCCATATCTATTCTTCAGAAAACCGGCGTTGACCAGTGCGTTGAATTATTGGTGAAATAATCATTGCGACCTCTACGGTGGGTTGAGAAAAGGGCTGTGCTTGTGCATAATACAGGGGGCTTGAGAAGGAGGTCAAGGTGGACGACCTGGACGACTGTGTGAGCATGTAGAGGGATAACGATACTGTGATTCAATTACATACATTGACTCCAAAGGTTTAGAAACACACATTCAAATTGTGTGTCAGAATAGATATATTCTATTTACTATTGCATGGGTGCATGTAACCACTGTAGCCACTAGCGGCCGCTGCATTCACTATACAGTACTGTAATGTAGAAAAATACAGCATGGAATGGTGATCTTGAATGGAAACGAATAATTAAACCATTAAAAAAGACATTCGCACCCACAGATGTCTATAATACAATAATGTGTTGAAACAGTGGGCATATCATACTACATGAGAAAAAAAGTTTTGCTCGCTTGCTGCTTGGCTGACTGGTGCACGGGTGATATCACCTGCATCCCACGGCATTGAGCTGGGTTCGTGTGAACTGACGCCATGCCTAAACCCCCCTCCCACCATCCTGGACGTGCATCCCGCGCAATTGCACGGACAGTGCTGAGATAATTTTTAGACAGATGCAATCGGTCATAGGTAGAGAAGAATAGGGAGGTATTGAATAGAGGCAGACAGTTGCTGGCATGGAAGGCGGCAGGTGGACGGTAGTTCCAGACTATGTGGCAGCAGACGAGAATGAGAATCGTAAGATAAGCAACTTCGGAATTTGGAATGCAGGTATAAGTTTGGGGAATCTGCTGAGAAGAGAAACATTTGACATGTCTTCAAAAACCTCCACCAATCAGAAAACGATTACTTTTCCAAAAGTAAGTCTCCCAGCACCGTGTCTCAATCAACATACATGTATAAAAAATATGTTGGTAAATGTATGGCAGAGTAGAATAAACAACTGGAAGTTTGGAATTGAATGTGACAGGAAAAATGTGTGGTTAGAATCAGTTCGAGGTTGGGATGGGTGTGACATGTGTCCAGGGTGGAGGAGGGAAGATTACCAAGAGAGGCATCGGGGTGTCACTCACAGGTTGGCAACCGAGATGAAGAACAGACCTTGTTGAGATATGGTGTCAGCATCTGTGGATTTTAGTAGATGGAAGCAAGCTGCTGCAAAGAGGGCGGGGGGGGGGGGTCATGGTTGTCGTTGGCATTGGTCATGTTGACCGCTGACTTAAAACTTTGGTATGTATGCCTGTATGTACGTTGATCTTCGTTTGCACCGTACGTAGCCAACCGTGGTAATCAGAGGTTGGGTGAAGGTCACCAGCGCGGTAATGTGGAATCAAGCAATGGGGTCCCATGACGCCTCCCGGCCTTCATCTCACTCGGCTCGA